AGAAAGAAGGAGGGAGAGAGAGAAAGAGACAGAGGACAGAGAGAGAAAGATACACACATCGATTGATTGCCTCTCGCACTCACCCTGACCCAGGCTAGGGATCGAACCTGCAACGCAATACGTTGCCCTTGACTGGGAATCAAACCTGAGACCCTTCACAGCGCACAGACGGATGCTTTATCCACTAAACCCCGCCACCCAGGGAATAAGATGACTTTTCCAAAGATAACTTTGTTTTGGTGTTTGAAATAAGCCACCCGATCTCATGCAGGTAGATTTTCTGTCACCAGGCTTCCTTTTTCTGATGATGATTAAGCCTTGAGCCATGCTGAGAAATAGGCAAGAGGTTATGAATGCTGCTCTACATTGAGATAGTTTGGGGGCTCAGCAGAATTTTGAAATATGGCAAAATTTCTAGGGAACCAAGAAAGAAAGATAAAGCAAACAAAAAAGTCCTACAGACTTAAAAAAAATTATTCTCCATTATCAAATCCTCACCTATCAATATTTCTACTGAAAAGGGCCAAGATAGATTAGCTAGATATATATTGCATGGTGATATAGCAAAAGAATCTAGCAACAATGCCATCCTTTGATTCTCAGAGTTATCAGAATGATAACCTTAAGATTATGGTCATAAACGGAGTGATGTTTTTCTATATGTTTGAGTTTTCAAGAAGAGATCCCACACAGCTGATGGAGGAATGACAGTGACTCCCCCAAGGTTTTTTGAATATTACACAAGTACCTTTTTCCTTTCTGTGCTTATGTTAAGTACATAAATACACAAGGGCCTGATAGGTTATGTAACAAAAAGTGAAATTTGTGTTGAAGCCTCAAGTTGGTGCTTTAGAAGAGTGTTTTTTAGTAACTTTAGATTGTGACAATAAATAGTTGTCTAAGTAGGTAGGGAACCACTTTATGATTTTAATTATCACAAACTACAGAGATATCATTCTGAGGAATCATTTGGGGAGGGGGCAGTTAAGAGCTATTTGTAGTATTTTAAAACTATTAGAAAGTCTAGCATAGAAGAAAAGCTTTTGGAATTTTCTAATTCAAAAAATTAGAAATTTTTGTTGATAAAATTACTTTTTGACAGGAAAAAAGAGAATTTCCAGTGAACGGTAATTTCTTTTTTAAATCAACCCCGGGGCAATTAGTGAGGGCTTTTAAAATAGAGGCCATATTAAATATATCCCTCAAGTCCCAGCAACTGACTTCTAGTAATTGCTCAATTAAGGTTGATGCAAGCATAAATGTATATAAAGCATTCCCACAAATCTCGAGATTTTTTTCACTTCCTCTTTCACCATTAGAATAGGATAACTTGCCCTGACTGGTTTGGCTCAGTGGGTAGACCGTCAGCCTGCAGACTGAAAGGTCCCAGGTTCGATTCCGGTCAAGGGCATACACCTTAGTTGTGGGCACATTCTCAGTGGGGCGTGTGCAGGAGGCAGCTAATCAATGTTTCTCTCTCATTGAATTTTCTGACTCTCCATCCCTCTCCCTTCCTCTCTGTAAAAAAATAATAAAATATATATATTTTTAAAAAGAATAGGATAACTGGAAATTACTAGGCTTCTGCATGAATCCAAACTATAACTGGTGGTACAAATAATCCAGTTCTCCACAGGATAAATACACAATTTATAGCAGTGGAGAGAAGGAATAGGAAGTGGCTGCTCCTTTAAAAGAATACCGTCTTCTTCCAAAAAGGGTTAGTGAGTCATCCAGAATATTTTCAAGGGTCTAAAACAAGGCCCATTGACTAATCATTTCCATCAGGGCTCCTTCTTGAGGCCCAAAGTTACACTTGAACTTCTCCCTCCTCCTTAAAAGATCTAGCTCTCCCAAGACCCAACATGAAGTTCCCAGAATTAGGCCACTGAAGGTTGGGAGGCAGTTGAGAGATTCATCATTTGCTGCTTCAGGTGCTGAAAACTCAGCCTCTTCCAAAGAGTTACCAGGTCATCTTGGATCCTAGGAGGGCCAAACAGCCCATGTATTCGATCAAGAGTGACAGCAACTGGTCATGTCCTTCCTGGGCATGGCTGTCTGGGCTGGGCAAGAGGTAATAAGACCTGCAGGAGCTGGAGGAACCTGTCCCTTGGGTAGTTTGAAATGACTCTGAAGAACTGGTTTGGAGGCAAATTTTATTCTTGAGGCTATCTTTCAGAGGGATGTGTACATGGAATAAAACAAACCCCAGTAAAAATGAAACCAGTTAAGAAAAGGTACAAGAACCAGAATAGTTCCTGAACTGACATAGTCCTAACTCTTCTGATGGAAACAAAACTAAAATGCACGCGTTTCACCAGGAAAACTCTTGAAGGTTTTCTTTAAGAATCAGATCTAGTTTTGAATGCAGTGCTCACTGTTGCTGACTAGGTGATCATAATGTGCATTGTGCTTCTTTCGTTGGGAATATTTGAATCTTGTCTCAATGCTCATAACGGATCAGAAATACAGATTTTGATAGCAAAGCGACTTTAGTCGTGAGCTCGTGTGAGGAGAGTCATTGGCTTTATTCTCTAGAGTTAGATTGTTGGGGTTGGGTACAAAAGATGGGGTCTGTAAAATCTTTTTTTCCTATAAATTTGTTTCCTAGTTATGTAGAAATGGTTGTATTAGATGTTCTCTATCATTTAATAATATACTTGTGGACTAAAAGATATAAGTGCTGTATAAAATCAGCCAATTATATTAAACTAGCTTATCTGCCTTTATTGTGTTTGTCATTAGCCTGACCTTTAAAATTGAATGCATTTTGTTTGGTATTGTATTTATTCAATAAAGTATTTAATTAGTTGGGGGGGGAGAATCAGTTCTAGACTTAAGGATGTCAGAAGGGAAGGGTTTTGGAAGGGTCTGGATACAAGAAGGTGGAGAGATTAGCCAAAGAACATATACGTCTAGCCCATGGACTTAGACAGTGTGGTGAAGGTCAGGGGAGGGGTGAGGCGGGAGCTGGCTGGAAGAGGGCCAAGAGGGGGGAAAAATGGGGAACATCTGTAAGAGTGTCAATAATTTAAAAAAAAAATATGTTAATGTCAAAAAAAGAATCAGTCCCGCTGGAAATGATACCAATGCAAAAAATCCCTGTAATTCCTGAAAAGATTTTAAATATATCAGTAACCCTTTCTTTATCTCTACTCTCTGTCACCTAAATTTAAACTAACCAAAGAATCTATGAGTATAAAATTACTGTCCTGGGTTGGGGACTCCTACACAGAATATCAACAGTACTTTTATAGCAAAAGAAGGTCATGAGGACTTTGGTATCTGTGTTACTTTAGTAAAAATATACATTTTTGGGTGGTGAGGAGCTGAAGTTAAAGATACAGTTTCCTCTCTGTAGCTCTAAAATGTCATTGTCTCTAAAAGTAGAATGGATCAGATTGAGTTGTTGGACAAAGTAAAAGTTTAGCAAACAGAGTCATTTAACTAGCTTTATAGGCTCCATAGCCTGTCATCTTTTTTTTTTTCTTTCTTTCTTTAGTAGTTTCTCAGCCATTTTCAAGTGGGCTTCATGCAAATTCACCCACTAAGGGCGGGTTAGTTAAAACAGTATTCTGTCCTCAGGCAGGAAACATAGAATGCATTTCATCCACATAAGCCTTGAAGAGGCTAGTCAAGTGACAGATCAAATAAAAAGGACACTTAATACGCATGTAAATCATTTGCATTACAAATAAGACACTCTAGCAGGAGTTGGACTCCCTGCCTGAGAGTCAGGATTAAGTTCCCATATTAATGCATGCATTTGGTGTGGTTATTTCGGGTGGAAGACTTCATCCATCAATGCTTCACTAGCAAGTAAAGCCAACCTGTAAGCTGATCACCACAGCCTGTCAACACTGGTTACTTAATTACATAAAGAAAATATATTCCAAAGACTTTTGATAATTTGGTTCAATGTCTAGCATCTTTTCCAAGGTTCTTCATAACCGTTAAAAACAGTTTTAAGAATTAAAAATGAAAAAACTGAATGCTATATTTTGCTCTTTGCTAACCTTTTTTTCAGCTTTTATTCGCAGAAGTCAAAAATAAAAATTCAATGAGCACTAAATGAAGGCTCATATGAATGAAATAATATTTTGTCAGATGTTTCCATTAAAAACAAAACTAAATGTACTTGTGCTGTTAATTTGTATTTTTCATTAAGTCGTTTTAGTAATTTCTGATTCCAATTTATTTATGTTACTACTTAGTAGTTAATCTTGATTGTTTTATAGAAAGGTGAAGCATTTCTTCTAATGAAGAATAGTTTCATATTTTCAGTTTAACTATTTTTAAAGGCTATATATTATGAAATTATCTACAATAACACTCACTAAAAACACAACCCATTAGTGATATTCAAAGTTTGTCTCTTTTATGCAGGTGTTTGATTTTCTTCTCATGCAAGAATTTAATGAATGAAGCTTCAAATGCACTAAAAGCAAAAAATGCCTGTATCTGTCTTTTCTAAAGTTTGCCAGTTGATAAAAACAACCAATCTGGAAATAGTGTCACCAATTCTTTTTTGAAATCTTGATCTAATCTACTAACCATTTTTTTTAAAGTGTATTCCAAGCTCCTCTACACACACACACACACACACACACACACACACACACATTGCAAATACATGGTGAAAAAATTGTGATTCAACCTATGAAAATACACTTGAAAAAATGCAACTGGCTCACCACAAGAAACTAATATCCTCAAGTTACATGTAAAGGATCCCTGGCCATTGAAGGATAAAATCACAATTTGAAACTTCTAGTCACTATTCCTTCACAAACTGTCATTGTCAGATATTTTCAAATTGGCATACTCTTCCTATATCTTTCTTCTACATGTCTTTTTATTCTCAAGGATCTTTTCCTAAAAGCACAGTGATCCTATGATCTTATAGTCTATTTAAGAAATTGGATTTGTTTAAAAATTAATACCGACATGAACACACGCTATTAAAAAGTACAGCAAAAAGGTTTATGGATGAGTCTTACCCTCCTTCTTAGCAGGTTCTGGGACAGGTTCAGGCATGGCCGCAGTAAAGTGTTACTCTCCAAAGGGTTTGCTCCCCTCCAGGAAGAGATGACAGAAACCCCACAAGCAGTCGAGAGATGGTGCAGGTCCGTGTGACAGGCAGTTGGGGAGAAATCCTGGGCTTTTGTACTGCCTCTGGACTTCAATCATGTGGCACCGCCCCTTCTTCAGCACAAGGATGCTGGAACTTGACAGCTAGGAGGACCTTTCTCACATCTGTTGTCTGTGCTCTGTTCTCTCGCCTATTGGAAGGAATCTCCTGTCCATCTCATGTGGCTGATGAGAACACCTCTACTTTCTAAATTCAGCCACAGCCTCGTGCTCCTTTTTACTCTCTCTCTCTCTCTTTTTTTTTTCTCTTCTGTCTAATGAAAGCTTGTCTCTACTCAGGAGTGCAAAAAGTTTGCCAGATGATAAAAAATTTAATTAAATTAAAAATAAGAATATGTGAATCCAACATCTATCTTAATTTTTACTAAGGTTATAAAAAAATTTCTGAATTAAGATGAGAATTTTATGCTCCCATTAAATTTTTATTTTTGTCAGTTCTTAATTATTATATTTAAATATTTCCTTACTTATTTTTTGAGAGAAAGAAGAAAATAGAAAGAGGAGGAGGAGGAGGAGGAGGAGGAGGAGGAGGAGGAGGAGGAGGAGGAAGAGGAGGAGGAGGAGGAGAAGAAGAGTCAGAGACACACACACACACACACACAGAGAGAGAGAGAGAGAGAGAGAGAGAGAGAGAGAGAGAGAGAGAGAGAGAGGGAGGGAGAGAGAGAGAGAGAGAGAGAAAGATCAATTTTTTGTTACACTTACTTATACATTCATTGGTTGATTCTTATATGTGTCCTGACCAGGGATTGAACCCACAACTTTGGCATATCAGGATAATGCTCTAACCAACTGAGCTACCCAGCCAAGGCCGTTAATAATATATTGAAATTAATTTGTATAAACAAATTTTTATGTTGAATATCTTCTCCTATTTAATCTCTAAGAATAGTAAAGATTTCTATTAAGGAATACTTAGACTTTATATTTTCTCAAGAAACATCTTTTTAAAATAGCTGAAACCAGTTTGGCTCAGTTAATAGAGTGTCAGCCTGTGGACTGAAAGGTCCCAGGTTCGATTCCAGTCCAGGGCATGTACGTTGGTTGTGGGCACATCCTCAGTAGGGGGTATGCAGGAGGCAGCTGATCGATGTTTCTCTCTCATCGATGTTTCTAACTCTCTATCTCTCTCTCTTCCTCTCTCTGTAAAAAAAATCAACAAAATATATTTTAAAATAATAAAATAAAAATAAAAAAATAAAACATTACCCAGTATATAAAAGAAGGAAGGAATGATACATGGTGCCACATGGATGAAGCTTGAGTACACGGTACCAACTGAAAGAAGGAAAACACAAAAGACCACCAGTCCATTTATGTGAAATGCCCAGGGTGCTCAGAAAGTTGAATAGTGGTTGCCAGTGGTGGGGTGGAGGCGGAATTGGAAGTGACAACTAATGGATCTGGAGATACTTTTAGGGATGATGAAAATGTTCTGGGATTAGATCATGATGATGGTTGTACAACTTGGTGAATATATTAAAAACCACTGAATTGTACATTTCAAAATTTATGGGGGCTTGGCTGGCCTGGCTAAGTGGTTGAGAGTAGACCTATGAACCAGAAGGTCACAGTTTAATTCCCACTCAGGGCATATGCCCAGGAATATGCAGGAGGCAGCCAATCAATAATTCTCTCTCATTATTGATGTTTCTATCTCCTTCTTCCTCTCTGAAATCAAGAAAAACTTATTAAAAATCTATACTACTGTAATAAAAGATAAATATGTAAATTGGCCATCACTTTGTAATGCCCAATGCCAATCAGGAGTGAGTATGCAAATCAATGTGACAAATATTGTGGCAGCCCCACCCCCCTGGCCACTCCAGGCCTCTGGGCAGCATGCCTCCTCAGGGCTTCCCTGCCCCGTTCCACACCTGTCAACTGTCCCTGCAGCCTCCCTGTGGCCCAGCCTCCTGCCTCAGAGGCAACCCTCTGGTGCCTGAGGTCATAGCTCCAGGGTGTCCAGTGTCTCCCTCTACCCCACCATGCCCCGCTGCACTGGGAAACAAAACCCTAAAGTTGGAGCAGCTTGGTGTACAGTTAGCAAGCCCTGGGAGCCCCAGGCCATGGCAGCAGTGATGAAAGAGGCCACATACACAGTAATCCAAATTATCAGATCTCCCTCCTCCCTATCTCACCAAATCAAGGGGGGGGGGGGCAATGGGCATGGAGGGAGGGTGGGCAGGCAGGAGACAGAGGGTAGAGGAGGAAGAAGATGAGGAAGGGGGCCAGTTGCATCCCACTTTCACAATGGGAAAGTGAAATGCCCACCCAGCCGGTCCAGTCCTCCCCACCTGCCTCGCTCTCCCCACCTCTTCCCCTCCATACCTCCCCTGGAGCACCAGCGCTGCACAAAGGAACTCTCCAGAGAAAGAGGGCGAGGAGGAAGTGGGGCCAGAGCATGCAGGGCTTGCCGCTGCAGCCACCACTGCTCAGGCCGCAGGAGCGACCCCATCACGTGCCGGCAGCCAGGGGAAGGAAGGCCTATTTTTGCACAAATCTTCGTGCATCGGGCTTCTAGTAATAAATAAATAAGTAAATAAATAATAAAAAATACATGGAGCAAAGTCAGACAGAACAGTAGCCATTACTTTGTTTCAAGACAGCAGACAGACACAGTACTCTAACTTAAGATATTGGTAGACTGTCAGATTTGGCCATTTTCTCCCAAAAGCCTCCTGGAACTTCATGGAGAACTATGAACTTACCAAGTGATCAAACTAAAAAAAGACACCTTACTTCCTTTATCCACATTCATGGCACCTCAGAGACCAGAACTAAAATTAGTTTATATATGAAAAGACTCCTTGAGTGCCTCCATTGCCATGTGGTTTCAAGATCGTGCTCAAGAGACTTTGACTGATTTGTAGGGAACCAGCCACCCTGTCTCACTTAATTTCCCCTGTGGCTGAGAGCGCAGCTGGTCAGACTTAGCTCTACCAAACTGTGCCAAGGTAACTTTTCATATAAGGATGGAAACTCAACTTAGAACTCAATAGCATCATGCGTTAGCTATGTGGGGGGTGGGGGAGGAGAGCAGTCAAAAAGGTCAATGACCATTTTCTACAAAGAAAGCCTTCTCTCAACCATGGAGTGCCACTGATTTCATTGTTTTGCTTTTAAAATTATTTCCTTGCTCTTAGATGCTAAACATCAGCCAGTATTTAATTTTGTAATACTAAATTAAATGTGCTTTGAAAAGAACAAAACCAAACATTCCTCCCCCACCCCAGAGTCTACCATGAGAAATAAACTAAAGAATCTAGAATCTGAAGTCAGACCCTTTGGTTCTATTTCTGGACCATCATGGATCAGCTGTTACTGTAAGAAAGATAAGGGGCCTTTCTGGGACTCAGTTTCCTTCTGGGTACATGAAGAGGCATATAAAAATGACCTTTGGCCCTAGCTGGTTTGGCTTAATGGATAGAGCATCAGCCTTTGGACTGAAGGGTCATGGGTTCGATTCTGGTCAAGGGCACATACCTCGGTTGCAGGCTCCCGGCCCTGGTCAAGGGCACGTGGGAGGCAATCAATTGATGTGTCTCTCTCACATCATCGGTGTTTCTGTCTCTCCCTCTCCCTTCTGTTCTCTCTAAAAATCAATGGAAAAAATATCCTCAGGTGAGGATTAAAAAAAAAAAAAAAAAAAGCTTAATAAAATTGACCTCTGTATCCAATCGATGATTCTCTCTCATTATTGATGCCTCTATCTCTGTCTCTCTCTTATTTTCTGAAATCAATAAAAAATATATATATTTTTAAATGACCCCTGAAGATCTTTCTAGATTTAAAATAGTGATTCTACATGGGTAGGCCTAAAAAGGAATCATTTCTTCAGCATTCCCATAGCACTGAACACCACATATGAAATGGACATAAGGGCTGAGTATCACATTGCAGAAGAATGTTTATAGTCATGGGCAGATTTCACGCATGCCACACGAGAGGTGCCATGCCATCACTGGCCTCTGCAGAAACTCTTTTGGGTTTTTAATACACTGATCGTTTTACTGAACTGAACGAGTGCCAGGAGATATTGAAACCCAGGGAGAAAATATTTTATGGCCTAGGGAACTTTTTTTGCTAAAAAGACAAAACTACCCTAGCCTATTTGGCTCAGTGGGTAGAGCACTGGTCTAAGGATTGAAGGGTCCTGGGTTCGATTCTGGTTAAGGGCACATACCTAGGTTGCAGGCTCAATCCCTGGTCCCAGTCTGGGCATGTGTGAGAGGCAGCCAACCCATGTGTCTCTCTCACATCCATATGTCTCTCTGTTTCTCCCCCTCTCTTCCATTCTCTCTGAGAATCAATAGAAAAATATCCTCAACCGAGGATTAACAACAACAACAACAAAAAGGCAAACACTAATTGGAGGAATTGGAAATATGAACAAATTCTAGAAAAATGATTGTAGAATGTATTAGATGACTAAAGTAAAATTTTTAATTAGGGTAATATATCAACAAGAGTAATTTTTCAGGATTGTATTGTTTTAGGAGTACATAAACACTGTTTCAGATCTTATACATCCATCTAAGATGGCAGACTCTTTATCTCCAACATGCCTCTCAGGGAGTGGGGAAAATGGTCAATAGGGCTCTTCTTTCTCTCCATTTTTAAATGATTTCTTGTCCCTCATTCCCCTTGGTGTTCTTTGGGATTAGAGTTGGCTGAATACTGCATGAACCCACAGAATAACAGCTAAATCAAGATAGACGTCTTGCCGAGACTGGTTTGGCTCAGTGGATAGAGCATCAGACTAGGGACTGAAAGGTCCCGGGTTCGATTACTGTCAAGGGCATCTACCTTGGTTGCGGGCACATCTCCAGTGGGGTGTGTGCAAGAGGCAGCTGATCAATGTTTCTCTCTCATTGATGTTTCTA